ACTGAAACTATGAAGAAGATGAAATACAATGACCTGACTTCCAAGCAATTACGTCTAGTAATCATAGATAACTAACTTGAATGTCACGGGAAAAGTCCTTTTTTACTTTCCCTATCATCTCTTATAAAACTGGCTATTGATTTTGTGTCTATATACTTACTCTAAAAAGTAAAAAAGATAGAATATAGTTACATTTTTATAAAATATATTTTATTTTATCTTTATTTCTTTTTTGAGTGAACTAATTTGTAAGAGATAGCTATCCATCATAAACCAAAAAGAAGTAGAAAAAAGTTTTTTTCATGCGATAAAAAAAAGACAGTAGAAGAGAAGCGAGAAATTTGCTCGATACATCTTCTTTTCTGGGAATACAAATGTTTTCCGAATGCATTTCAAACACAACATATAGAAAAGAGTTCAATCATTTATGTTTACTCGCATATATCTCTGCCAATATTAAATCAGATATACATTTTTCAACATAAATAGTAAAAAGATTACTACCGCGTCCAAAACATCATGATAACTTTGAGAAAATCGGGTACAGACAAGAAAACTAGACCTATCAAATTTTGCATACACACTTCAAACGAAGAAAGTGATGTGCGTTAAGTTTTATTTGGCTCACAAGAAAATAATTGAATTTTATCTTTTGACTAAAAACTATTTTTTTCAAACTAGAATAAGTACATTTATCTCAAAAAGCAGATCGACGAATAGTGTGTACTTTGAAAAGACAAGTGTATGTCCTCAAATTTGTGTACAATGTAAAAAAAATGTTCTCTTAGTGTGCCAAAAGTAGAATGAAAACAATTTATTCGATGAGAAACGTGTTCAAGTGTCGTAGTTAGGACACATTTTGCGTCATTTATTGCGTTATAATAATCAGTATTCTATTATTTTAAAATATCCGATCGATTTGATATTAAAAATATTAATGTTAACATTAAACAGTTTTTATGATGCATTACAGCATGAATTTGCCGACAATTCAAATATTGAAGTTATCCCGATTGATCTAAAATGGAAAATATGTTGCTCTGATGGCGTGCATTCCAATCGTCCTGGAACATGTTTAATCACACAAAAACTCATTGAAACAATTAATAACAATCGCAACTATTATAATAATAATAAATTAAACAATCGCAAACAACATTGACTAAAAAACACATAAACTCGTTAATATCATCTCTTTCTTCCTCAAGTGTCAACTCTAGGTTCTCCATCTTTAATCATAATATTCAAAGCCTCGTGAAAAACTTTGATGCGTTTAAACTATGTATCGCAAATCTTAGACCTTTTGTCATTCTCTTTCAAGAAACTTTTCTCTCTATTAGTGTTCTGAACCCTGAGGTTAGTATACCCAATTACTCTTTACACCGGTACGATGTGAGTCGAAGATGCACGGCATTGCTAGTTACATTCTTAAAACGTAGGGCATAATGTTATATCGATTTCATCATGCCTTTCTGCCATACTACTCAAAATGTTAATTAAAAAAGAATAACTCTACTTATGTAATGTTTCTCGTGCTCCTCATAGAAAGAAAGATCATTTTGACAATTTATTGAGTTTTTTATTCGAAAATATTCCTAAGGAGCTCAGCATCTTCGTGACAGGGGATTTTAACGTTAACACGTTACATCCTCCTCCGAGCTTAAAAATTATTCTTGATACCTTCGAATTGACCGCATTTTTACTTCTGCTACTACTGTCCATGATACTGCTAATAATAACATCCTTTTCTCAAACAGTTAGCATCCGCCTAACTCAGAAGTTAGACCTGCGCTAGGGAAATCCTCTCATCATGTACTTTTTGCTTAAAAGATTAATGAGGAAAAGAAATTAGATAGAAAATCTCGACTTCTTCTTAAAGGGCCAATTATTTAAAAAAAATACGAAATTCAATTATTTCCTGAAATAAGGACAGTATCAAGTAGAGTAAGTTGGGGTAATTCTGGACAGCCTCTCGAATTTTCTCAGTATTTTGAACGTACCTGAAGTATTTTTACTCGGAAGAAAACGACATTTCGCAGGTAGATAGACCGAACATTTCTCTATCTACTAGTGTAAAAATCTTGTTAAAGTTCAATAAGATTAATTAGTACTCATCAATTAATTAATTAATTAATTGGAACAAAGAGTACATGCTGCGTTTTTATGTATAGCCCCGACTAAACCTAATTTCCAACTATGGGACAATTTACCTTGAGTAAGTGATAAAGAGAAAATATGAGCTAGTTGCAGCGCAACGGCGTCCGAATACAACTATAGAAATTCCACACTAAAACTGTCTACTTCTATAGATTTTGTACTTATCAACTTCTTTATCGTTTTGAGTAAATAATCGTACCGAACTATCAATAGAAATGAAGGTAGTAGAGTAAGTTGGGGTAATTCTGGACAGCCTCTCGAATTTTCTCAGTATTTTGAGCGTACCTGAAGCATTTTTACTCGGAAGAAAACGACATTTCGCAGGTAGATAGACCGAACATTTCTCTATCTACTAGTGTAAAAATCTCGTTAAAGTTCAATAAGATTAATTAGTGCTCATCAATTTCCAGAGAGCTCCTATCAACTGTCCATAATTACCCCAAATGGGGTAATTATGGACAGTCCAGCAGAAATGGCTGGAAAAAAGTAAAACAACAAACAGCTTTTTGCTGCGTCAATATTTCAACGGAGACTTGTGACTTCCCGACTACATTATGGAGAAATTTTGTACGAAGTTCTAGCTGTATGAGAAGTGTTGCGACAGTTCTTAATATTGGAGGTAAAAATATAACAACTGCATAATAGCTTGAAACTAAATGAATCAAATTTAACAAAAAGAAATGCTATTCTCATTAATTATCTTAACCGATAGAGTCCCCCAGACGAACTAGATATGCTTTAATTAAACTGAATAGTAATATTAATTAGTCTAGGCATAAGTGGTAAAAAAATATAAAGATTATTTTTCTTTGCTTTGTCTTACC